AGTTAGAAATTTGCAGATCTCATAGACATTGAATAGATACCTCAGACTTAATTCATCTAAATTGATCTTTTGACCTTCATCAATACCACTATTCCAACAGCCTTTCCCATGTCAGAGGATGACAACTTTTTTAAAAATGTGGGGTCATGCTCAACAATCATTCTGTCAAGAAATTCTTTTGGCTCTGCCTTCTGGATATATACAGAATTCAACACTTTCCACCACTTCCATGTTTGCTACCTGGTGGGAGACACCATCATCTCTAAAGTAAATTACTGCAATAGCCGTCTGATTTCTCGGCTTTCATCGTTTCTCACAACCTACTCTTAGTGCAGCATCTGTTGCAATAGAATGAGCTTTCCTAAGTCAGACCTTGGGGCTTATCTGCTGAATACCTTCCAATGTCTCTCCTCTCTCAGAGTAAAAGCCAATGTTCTTATAATGCCCTGTGAAGCTTTTCATGACTGCCCCTCTCCATGTAACCTCTCTAACTTCATCTCCAGCTCTCTTTATTTTACTTACTCTGTTCTAGCCACACTGACCTCCCATTTCCTGAACATACCAGACACGCTTCTACCTTAGTATTTTTGAACTGCTCTTCCTTTTGCCAGAAATGCTCTGGTCCCAAATATGCATGTGGATAACTCCCTCACCTCCTTCAGGTCCTTATGCAGTTACAGCCTTTTTAAGGATGACTACATGTCCCTTGTATTTTAAGTTGAAATCATCCCTTCTGTCCTCTATAGTTTCATCTGCCTTGTTCTACTCTAGTTTTTTTCTTTGTCATTGTTATTATCAACTTCTAAGATATTTATTATGTTTGTGGTTCATTTTCTGTCTCCTTCTACTGAATATAGAGTCCTTGAGAACAGGGATTTTTGTTTTGTTCACTGATGTAACAGATGTTCCTTGAACAGTACTTGGCACCTTAAAAGAGGAGCTCAACATACATATTGAATGAACAAATTAATCCCCACAGCAAAGTAAAAACATGAAGGCTAGGGAGCTCAAAATTTGACTTTGACCCTGCATGCCTGCTGAACCCTGTAGACTTTGCAATTCCACTGTGATGTATGTATGGCATACAGAGAACTGTGGATAAAACCCAGAACCTTTTGAAGGTAGGGGATTTTAATAGGAAACACTCCAAATTGAAATCCCTTGTGCTATACCCTGTACATGAAAGTAAAAGAGAAATAAACCTTACCGTTTAGAAAGGGAGAGAAGTAAAGCTTGCTCTCATTCATGGTTTCCATCTTAATTTACACTACTTAATTTATATGTTATGAAAAACCTTAGGCAGAATTAAACTCAGGGGAAGATTAAACATGACATTAGACACAACTGAAGTGAGTGAACTAGATCTGAAGAAATCTAGAATGCAGTTTAGAGATAAATATTGGAAAATATATTGCTGAGGGCAAGGGGAGGCAGCTAGGACATGGAAGATAGTGTTACAATAGTATAAAAAAATAATGGCTGAGGATATTACAGGATTGTTGGAAGACACCAGGAAACCTAAGAGGTCAAAAACATGATAAATGAAAAGAAAATTTCACCCAGAACAGAGAAGCTACAGGGTACAAAAGAGAAGAGGTATCAAAAGCAATTATGATTTTTCAGAAGCAGAAAAGGAAAATTATACATACTCTGAAAAAATCAACAATTACACTTATGAGTGACTCGTCAACAGCAAAAATAGATGCCAGAAGATAGGGAAATAATATTTTCACAGTTATAAGGAAGAAAAACTAATCAAAATTCATTACTTGCTAGAACTATCTGTCAAGCTGACAAAAATAGAGAGGTTAGGACCCAGATTAGTAGAAACTATGAAAGAATGTTTCAAGCAGCAGTAAAATTATTACAAATAAAAGTTCTGAAATTCAAGAAGGGACAGTGAACAAAGATATTGGTAAATAGTTAAATAAAATCAACAACAGAATAAAACAGAATGTCAAATTTGTTGAGAGATTAAAAAAAACCTGAAGCAAAGTACATTTTAGTTTTTAGTTTGGAAGAAGTGCCATTACAATAAAAGCATATAGGTTTTTGTACTTTTCATTAGAAAGATACTATATTAATGAACTATTAACATGCAATGTTAATATAGCTAGAAAATGTCTAAAAGAATAGGTCTGACTGTATAACTTCCAAACAAGTAGAAGAGAAAACTTAAAAAGAAAGTAAAAAGAAGAAAATACTTAATCCAAAATAAGAAAAGAAATCAGGGGAGAAATTGTTAAAGCGGGACAAAGGGAAAGTAATAATAAAACAAGATGTAAAGTTCAGATATTTTTAAAGAAATAATAAGTGTAAATGGACTGAACTTGTCAATTAAAAGAAAAAAGTCAGAATAAACAAAACTAACTGAAAGAAAAAGAGATTACAAATACTAATCTAAGCTGTTATATGCATATTAATATCAGACAATAAACTTTAGGCAAAAAGAAATTAATTGAAATAAATGTCTGTACACAAATGGTAAAAGACCATGAAGATCAAACAATTCTAAACTTGTATACACTGAATAATGTCGCCTCAAATGATAAAGCAAAAATTGACAAGAATCAAAGATAAGTGCCCAATAGTGAGGAGATTTTTAACATGCATTTCTAAGTTAATAAATTAAGCAAACAAAAAAGGCTGAGCACAGTTAATTTTATTCTAATGGAAATGTATAAAATATACATAAATCTTATGGAGTATATGTTTTTTACAAGCAGGAAAATCTTTGAAAATCAACCATGTGCTAGGTCATAAAGTAAGCTTTAAGGATTATTATCATATAAACCACATTCTTTGAGCACAATACAGTTATTATAAAAAAGATAACTAAACACTCTTCCAGCTATGGAAATTAAGACACAATAAACCTTCTAGAAACATGGATTTAGAGAGAAAGTGTAATGGAAATTTGAAAATACTTAAAACTGAACAACAATGGAAATACTAAAATAAAGTTGTAGATGTAACTAAAACAACACTTAGAGGAAAATTTATAACCTCAATAGAAAAGGGGGGAAGCTCAATATGAATAAGCTAAGCATGCAAGTAGTTAGAAAATTAAGAATGTAATAAGGGAAAAAAGAGCATAAATTAATGATATGCAAATAAATACCTAATAAAGAGGATCAATGAAACAAAGGTTGATTCTTTGAAGAGATTTATTAAAAATAGACAAGTATCAGATAAGATTTTTCAAAAGAAAGAGACATCACCAAATAAACAATGAAAGGTATAAAAATGAAGATATAACTACTGATCTAATAAAGAATAAATAAATGAAAGGAAATGTAATGAACATTAAACCTATAGTTTTGAACCATACATGAAATGCATATATTATAAGAAAAATATAATTTATTGAAATAAACACTGAGTTAAGAAGACATAGAAAACACAAGTAGTGCTTTTACCTCAAAATAAATTGAATCTGCAGTTTATTTTCCCATGATGAAAACACTAAGCCTAAATAGCTCTACAGGTGTGTCCTACCTAATGTTTGAAGAATTCATTCATTCAATTTATATAAAAACCCTTCTAGAGAGCAGAAGTATGATCACTAACTTATGAAATTAGCAATAGTCTAATACCAGAGGAAAAAAAAAACAGACAAGGGCTGTAGAAGAAAGGAAAATCATGGGATGATATCAATGTCATTTTTGAACATAAATGCAAAAATATTAAACAATATGTTAGCAAAGCATATGCTGCAATAAAAAGAGAATATGAGTTTGGGTTACTCCATGAAAGTGAGATTGAATAATACTAGACAATATTCTGGAAATAACAGATCAGGTAAATTGTACCAATCCTTCTACATCTAGAAGGAAAAGATTGACCTACTGGTGCATTGGGGAGGGAGGAATTTGCTGACCACTGAAGAAGCCTGTGAGAGGCTGAGTAGTACTTTCAAAAGTCTTACAAAGCCAGGACTACTGAAGGTCAAGCCCAAAGTTCAGAAAAATGTGTGTGTGTGGAGAGAGGTGTTGGTAAACTACCTGTGCTTTGGGTTCGACTTTCCTAGGACTAAGAGCAAACAGCAAAAGGACTAGGCCATGAGTACATTTCTACCCAGCTTCAAATCATTGAGGCACAGAAAATGCAATAAACTTATCTGGTATTGTTAGTGAATCCAGGTGCTGGGCAGAAGCAGACATAAATCTTCTCTAAGAAAGATATTATCCTCCTAGGATTAAAATTATTTCCAGTTTTTCAAATTCAATAAGTGGCATGCAATAAAACATAATCAGACAAACAAGGAGAAGACGCAATGTGAATGAGAACTGATATAAACAACAAAGTAGAAACAGACCCATAAAAAGTTATTACAAACACATGGAGGAGTTATAACTCTTCAGTATTTAATTATTGATTAATTCATTGGGGAATATGTTAATAAAAAAGCTGGAAAAATGTAGCACTACATTTAAGAGGGGAAAAGTAAATTTCAGTTTAAGGAAAAAAGCTTGCATATTTATAAACTAATTTGTTAGGTATATGAATCTTTTTAACGTGTGTTTGTACTCTTTTACTATGATGCATTCTTCATTGTAAGTGTTTTAAAATCAGATCAAGAACCCATCAATGTGGGCTGATTTGAGATTTCATCTATTGGAAATCAAAAAATTAGGCCTAAGAAATCCCTGGGTGGCTCCTGCGGCAACAACCCCAAAGAAAAGCATAGAAAATAACCTAAATGCTTTAAATTGGTTATAGATTGGCAGAATGTACTACAGTGTTCTTTATTCTTTTTGTATGCTATTGTTGAAATGGCCTCACCAATAACTATGCAAATGGGGTAGCTTGATGAAGAATGTCATACAGGGTTGTGCCCAGTTCTTGAGTAGAGGAGAAAAGATTGCTATTTCCAGTTGCAATTTATCAGAGAGATGTAAGACACATTTAAGTTATAAAAAATAAATGTTTTACAATAAGACAACCTTTTTATTCAAATTTTATCTGACGTCTTTTTAACACTTGTTCTCTTTTTACAGAATAAACATGTTGATTACGTAGATGTTGGCGGGGCTTATGTGGGACCCACCCAGAACAGGATCTTAAGGTTATCTAAGGAGCTGGGTTTAAAAACTTACAAAGTGAACGTGAATGAGCGTGTTGTACAATATGTCAAGGTAAGCCTGATATTTTATTCAAGGGACCAGTGGGCGAGTATTGTATTTGGGAAAAAAATTTGGTTTTGTTTTGAGTTGTTTTTTTCTCAGAACAATCATAAAAAATTGGTCTTGGCTTTAAGTAGTATTCAGCCTTTCTTTACTGGAAGTGATCATACCTCAGCTTAGCCCTCCTCCACATAACCCATTGAGGCACTTGAAGGCTGCACACCCATCCCAGTCCAACCGCAGTAGGGGTGTAAGGCTCTCAGTTTCCTCCTGTCTCTGGGGTTCAGGGGTGCCTGTGAGAGAAAGAAAGAGAGAGAGAGAGAGAAAGAGAGAAAGAGACACCCCCCCCCGGCAGCCACTTACACACACACACACACACACACACACACACACACACACACACACCACCCCCCCCCCCCACCCACAATCCCACCCCTGGCAGCCCCTAAGGCACCTATGATGCAGTTCTAAGGCCTCAAGAAACACAGTAGTTTGAGGCCACTTTGTAAAGACTTACACGGTTATCCTTTCTCTCTCTTACCTGACATTTCTTTACATGACTTGATAATTTATTCTCTACCTAGCCTTGGCTCTGGCAAAGTCTACCCTGGCTGTGCAGTTTCCTATTGTTTAAACAAATGATTGTTTAACCTCTAAATGCTGATATCCACTCAAGGAACAGCTGCTGTTTCCAGTGTTATTGTTATTGTCCAGTGTTATTCTTTCTTAGTGAAGCCAAACAGAGTAGCTGAAGTCTGGAAATGTGTCTTGAGAAGTCACATTTCCAATCTGACATTGTAGCTCATTTCCTAGAATGACCATCGATAGCCAGGGGTCACTTACTCATTCTAATGTCAGGATTCCCATGCCAGTAACCGCATCACTTCTCAAATAGAAACAGCTATCCCCCTCTAAAATCCAGGCAATATAGTGTGTCTGGTGTCTCCCCAGCTTTTTGGAGCTGGGAGTTAAGGATACCTGTGATGCATACATACCAATGCCCAATCAGGAATCTTGGAAAACTAATAGCCAGGTGGTTTGGGATGCTTGGGAAAGTCTATAAGTGATACAAGGGAAAAAACAAACCAGTAGCCTTTAGAAAACCTGTGCGTCAGAGGTCAATGAAGGAATGAAAAAAGTATAAAAGATTATACAAAGTGTTGAGGAATACTAGCTTCAGTAGGCACAATCAAGATGGAAAAATCCCCTTGCTTCCCCTTTTTTCTGCACAGCATGGTGTTTCTTTGAACTAGTAAGTAATAACAACAGTAAGAATAATAGCAGCTAACATATTGAATACTTCTCTGTGTATTAGCACATTTAATATAGGAAGAGAGACCAAATCCTTTGCACTCAAGTATTAATTAATCAGTCTTGTAAATTCACTCTCCAGTCCAATTGGGAAGCAAATGAAACGTGATTATCCTAGAATCTGAGCAAATTCATGCTTATAATCTCTTCCTCCATAGCTTTCACATGCTGAGAGATTTTTTTTTTATTTTTATCCAGAACCTCACAATGAACACCTAAGTGCTTTTTTATATATCAACTCATTGAACACTTACTTCTACTTTGCTGGGAAGGCATGGTTATCCCCTTTTTACATAGCAGAAAACTGAAGTTCAAAGAGGTAAATTGACTTGACAGGACTATGTAACTAGTAACAGTCTGCCTACCCCCTGATGCATGCTCTTAGTGATCCCAATATATGGTTTAGGAAACGAAACTCAGGGCCCTGAATTAAGTGTACTGGCCCTCCATTTTTTTTTTTTCTGAACACATATCCATTGTAAGGTATCTCACCATCACTCAGGCAATGAATAGACGCAGTTATTGCCAAAGCAAGTATCTTTCGTTTACTCTTCTCCCAGTCTCATGTTCTTTTATATACATTTTTGAAAGAGAAAAACTGAAAACTTGTAGCTATGTCCTCCAACTAAGTACCTGTTTATCCCCCAGCTATGCCCACTCTAAAACGTGACGGTAAGGTGAGATATTTTTTAGAGCATCACCCAGCCAACTCCTCATTGTTCCCAATGGAGGTGGGGGTGGGAGTAAAATTAGAAAATGATGTTTGAGAATTTTGCCTTTGCTTTAAAGTTGTCAAAAAATCATGGCATGTTACTCAGCCTTGTTGACAGGACCTTAATGAGATAAGCATCATTAGCTTAGGCTTTCTGATACCTCTGGAATTTTCTGGGCTTCATGGGGAACCCTGCATTCAAAAGTCTAGTTGTAATTATTCCATACTTTAAAAGGGTCCTGCTGCAAACATTAGTAGAGGATGAACTTGTGGGAAGACTTAAGGAATGCTACATCAAATGCCTAAGTAAGGAAAGGAAAATGTTAATAGTAGCATCCAGGCTCTTTGTTGCTGCTACTGAGCCCCTCTCTCTAAGGTTAGAGCCACACATCCCAACTATTGCATGGCATGCATGGCCATGCAATACACTATTGTTTTGGGGAAAATCCATTTTTTTTCCCTAGAAGTGGACATAACAGTGAAAGTTGAGATGGTTTTAAATAAGGAAACTTGTTTTTTTTGTTTTTTTTGTTTTTTTGCTACAAAGTTTATTAGCAATCTTACCTGGAATGTCTAACTGAATATCTTTATGCTTTTCTCTAGTCTGGCCTGCTCCTTTTATAGTTTCTTGATTACCATAAAAATATCCTCTATACTGAGTATTTCTCATTGCAGAGATGATATGATGTTATCAGAAACACTACCAGAAATGAACTATTCATTCAGTTAATATAAATGCCAACAAACCCACTACTTTTTTACCTTAATATTTCTGTCTACCTTGATTGAAAATATGTGTTCGTTGGCAGGTTAAAGTATGTGAGAGGATGGTTGAATGTTATTTATATTCTCCATCTTTTTGTTAGGTGAGATTATATCTTAAATGAAAAAAAAAACCACAGTATTTAGCATTTTAAATATGTGTTTACATGTAAGTACTAAAATTCAAAATAGAGCTTCAACATTCATTGTCCAGCACTTAAATGACTGTTTTCCAGTTACTACATCAATCACAAAAATGAAGACACAATGCTTATATTATGGCAGATAGCTACATTGCTCTTCCAGGCTCATGGCCAAAGGACTGAGCAAAATGATCTCTAGCAGTGCCTTCAGGGACACAATGAAGGAAACAAAATGACTCTTAGAAGACAGTCCTCAAAGAAGACCAGGACCAGCACAAAGGCAACATCATGGAGTTCAAAGCCACACCAAAATCCCTGACATGGGAATCTGGAATAGGAAGAGACAACATGGAAAAGTAGAAAGGTCTTGACCTAAATTCCAGCTCTGTAGCCCTTACTTGCTTGAGTAGGTTACGTGGCCTTTGAGCTTCAGCCTGTTTTTGTGAAATGGGACTATAGCCCCTGCCTTAGGGTCCTTGTGAGGATTCAGTATGATAACAGAGGTGAAGACCCTGGCACAGGGCCTGGAACATACACGGATCTCTGTAAAGTTGAGCTAGGGTTGTCATTACTACAGGAGTGCTGTTGACCTTGAGGGATCAATCACTGTGGCCACTATTTCAATGTGCTCTTTGTTGTCCAAAGTACTGGCTAAGCAGTAGTCCTAGCACCAAGCCTGCCACATGCTGCATGTTCAATAATTATGACAGAACATTATTTCTGTTGTGTTGACATGCATGGTCATGCAATGACAAAGATCCAGAGGTTAATAATGCCTTACATTCTTGAATGCAGCCTCTGGCTACCAAGTCCTTTGCCATGAGATGCCTTTTCCAGTAGGTTATGCGACAGCTCAGCCATATATGTATTTTTGTTAAAGAAAAATGCGGTGGCAGTTGAGTAGCTCTACTCTATGAAAAGCTGTTTCTTTGGAATAGGACTATCAGGGATGTGTGGCCCTAACCTTAGAGAGAGGGGCTCAGTAGCAGCAGCAAAGAGCCTGGATGCTACTATTAACATTTTCCTTTCCTTACTTAGGCATTTGATGTAGCATTCCTTAAGTCTTCCCACAAGTTCATCCTCTACTAATGTTTGCAGCAGGACCCTCTCAAAGTATGGAATAATTACAACTAGACTTTTGAATGCAGGGTTCCCCATGAAGCCCAGAAAATCACATTATTATTTCTTGCAACAACCCTGGCTTCGGTAATATAATACAGTGATTCTATTTTTTTATTTTCTTGACTTCCTATACATTATTTTTAAATATATAATTTTATTATAATTTTTTCCATTACCATTTAGTCCCCTTGTCCCCAAAAATTTACCATTACCATTTACCATTACCATTTTTCCATTACCATTTAGTCCCCACAGCAACCACCACACTGTTCTTCATGTCTATGTGTCCTTTTTACTTTTTGCTCAATCCCTCCACCCTTAGCTGTCATCTGTTTTCCATCTATGAGTCTGTCTCTGTTTTGCTTGTTAGTTCAGTTTGTTTGTTAGATTCCACGTATGAGTGAAATCATATGGTATTTGTCTTTCTCTGACTGGCTTATTTCACTTAGCATAATGTTCTCCAGGTCCATCCATACTATTACAAAGGGTAAAATTTTTTTCTTTTATATGGTCAAGTAGAGTTCGGTTGTGTAAATGTCCCATAGTTGTTTTATCCCCTCATCTACTGATGGACACTTGGGCTGCTTCCATATCTTGGCGATTGTCAGTAATGCTGCAAAGAACACAGGGGTGCTTATGTTCTTTCAAACTAGTGTTTTGGGTTCCTTCAGATATATTGCCAGAAATGGGATCACTGGGTCAAAAGGCAGATCCATTTTTAATTTTTTGAGGTATTTCCATAATGCTTTCCACAGCACGAATCTGCATCCCCACCAACAGTGCAAAACGGTTCCCATTTCTCCACATCCTCGCTAGCACTTGTTGGTTGTTGAGTTATTGATGATAGCCATTCTGATAGGTGTGAGGTGGTATCTCGTTATGGTTTGAATTTGCATTTCTCTGATGATTAGTGATGTTAAGTATCTTTTCCTATATCTATTGGCCATCTGTGTGCCCTCTTT